GGCCCGCCCGCCCGCCCCCCGCGCCTCTCCGCCGCCGGCCCCGCAGCCGCTCGGCCCGGCGATGGGCGAAGGGGCAGAGCGACGGCGAAGGGCCCCCAACCCACCTGCGGGCCAGGGCCGCGACACCGGGGGGACAAAGACACCCGGAACCACCAAAGCCGCTGCTGCCGCCGCCACCGGAAGCGCCTCTCCGGAAGCGCGACCACTGATCGGAAGCTGCCACTCTCCCGGATATGGTCCCTCCCTCGTCTCCACCGACCTCTCCCTTCCCCCACGCCGGCCTGCCATCCCGCGGCCGCTGTGGAACGGAAGTGCGCCTTCCCGGATCGGATGCGCGTTAGAAGCCGCGCCTCGGTGGTGTCCCTCGCGTAAGTGGCCCATTGGAAAAGTGAGCTTGGGAGAATTGGTTCCTGGTCCAAACACAGCTGCAGCAGGACCCCTCCAAAGCACAAAGGAACTCCCACCTCCCCGACCCCTGCCTCATCCTGGCAGCCCCTGAAACTGCAGCAGCAAAAGAACCAGCGACTCCTGATTGGGAGGAGGATGCGTGATCAGCAGTCATTGTTCCTAACAACCCAATGATTCCCCCATCCCTGGCCCTACCCTTCTGTTGACCACACCACCCCAGGGATCAAACCGCTCAAAAATCAGTATCCAAACTCTCCAATATGAAACCTAAAAGAACTCAATGCAATGACTTGCTCAAACTTGCACGCCCCCCCTTGGCAGTCCCAGTGCCCTTACTCTCCGACCTCCCATCATCTTTCCAGCCCAGCCCCCTCCAGCCCACACCCTCCCCATCCTAGTCACTTAACATTCACAGATCACTTCGAGAGAGTTTAATCTCCTTTATCCTCATAACAGGAAGTGAGGTAGGTAGGGCAGGAATCATTATCCCAAGTGGAAAGCTTCGGCTTGGAAAAGTTAAGACTCTACAGAAGTCTAAAAGCTAGTATGCACTTGTTTTCAGCTCTGGCATGTAAGAGCGAGCATGGAGCAGAGCTCCATGACTCGGCCTTGAGGATTATTCTGCTACTGCCCCCAGTCATCCTCATTCCTGGTACAGTCTTCGGGGACTCCGCTCCAGGGCAAGACTCAATGCAGAGGCAGCCGAGGCAGCACCATTTTCATCCCAGGGCTACCAACGCAGGTATGAGACAGAAAGCAGGAATCTGGATTAGTAACCGCCCATGCGGGATGCAGATCAGGGCCATCCCTCTGTGGTTACCTCACCCGGAGGGCCAACGCTTGGACTCATGGTTCTGGGAGAGGTGGCTGGATCCAGCTGGCTGACCACACTGACGGTCCCACAGACTGACTGGGTCCCACAGACTGACTGCTGTCAATCTGCGTAACTACGGATCTGCTACATGCTGGGCCATCACCGTGCCTACGCTCTGACGGACACCTGAGAGAGAGGTTAGTTCACATTGTCTAAGCCCAGGGATTTCCGGCAAGGAGAAGCAGGCTGGAGCTGCCATGTCTTGGGGCTGCTTGGGGCCCCAGGGCACCTGTGCCAGGCTGCTGGGAGCAAAGAGACTCAGCCTCAGCCCTCGCCTCTGAGAGAAGGGCAAGCAGGGGCAGCGTTCCCCACAGTCATGAGAGCAGACTGCGGAGAGCAGCAGTCGTGCAGAGGGTGAGGAAGACTTCCTGGCAAATCCTCTCCACCCAGAGCCACCAGGCACGCTGTAGTCTCAGCATAGAGAGAGGGTTGTTTTCCGTTGCTGCTTAACCACTAGTGATGGCATGAAGGGCTTCCGGTGGGAGCGGCACTGAGGTTTTTCAGGGCGGTCCCTGGGCTCAGTCCTGTGAAAAAGAAGAGGAGACCTGAGACTGAGGAAGCACAGGAACCAGCCCTGGGTTGGCGGGGCACTGCTTCTGTACTGTGTAAAGCTGGGGTGTCAGAGGAGTGTTCACATGACCCCGGCGCCTGGGGGCGTACTGTGATCCCTCATCTGGGCCTCTACCTTGCTCCCCCGTGACCTGGGGCAGTGGCCTAAGTGTCAGCACTGGAAGGTGAGGCTTACAAGCTGGCCTAAGACTTCCCAAACTCTGGCCCTGGCTCTACCATGGGCTCACCTCTGGCTTTGGGAAGCCAAACCCCGCAGCCACACCCAGTGCCCGCCTCTCATCTTTGCATGGGCATCTTAACTACTTTCAATATTCGTTTACTTGCCAGAGGGCACATGCCCTCATTAGAGAGAGGGACAGAAAGACAGAGAGAGAGAGAAGGCACCCCAGTCGGGCAGCCCCGCCTCCATTCCTCCATTCTGCTGGGGTTTCTGGCATGCACGTACATGCGTCTTGTGTACTTTTCAAGCCACTGGGGCCAAAATTCAAACCACAGCCAGCCATATGGGAGCCAGTGCCCTTAACCACCAGGCTGCAGGGCTGGCCCCCATGTTACCTGCTTTCAGTTTCTTCCAGCCCCTCTCCAAGAATCCATCCTTCAAATTTTACAGGGACAAAGATGACAGCTGGCAGGACAAACTCTGTTTCCTGGTTCACCAGTCTCCTCCCCCCACCCCATCCTGGTGGGCACAGAGCTCACCTGGGACGGGCACCATCGGCAGGGACGGGTGGCTCAGGGTATCGCGGGCTCCTCCAGCACATCCGGTTGAGCAGCATCTTGACCTTGGCCCAGTGGGAGAGGTCCCGCTGAGCAGAGTGCAGAGGTCACCACAGAGCCCCTCCCCAGCATGAACCCCACCGAGCCCCAGGGACAGCTGTGAATGCAGCCAGGACGAGTCCCCTGCTCCAAACAGGGTCCCAGCATTTTCCCAGGGTTTCTGGCCCTTGGGTGCCCAGACACCCACCCACCCCGCTGTCTACCTTGTGTCCCTGGGAGGATGGGAAGGTGAGAGTTGGTCCCTCTGGGGCCTCTGCCAGCCTGGAATCATCGGTGCTGGGCACCTGGACCTTTGAGAGTGAAGTTGCCTTGGCACCTTTGGAAAGAGAGCCAGGTTACCCAAGGCCAGGGCCAGGGGGATGCCATCAAGCTGTGTCTCAGGGGATCTGATCTGCTGGTGGGGCCCCAGGCAGGCAGGACACAGAGGCAGACACGACGACCCGGACCTGTCTCCTTCGCCTGGCTTGGCAGCTCCCACGACCTGTGCACCCTGTCGCCCGGGGCTTGGAGGGGTGGTTTAAGGGCCAGGGCCAAGTCTCCGTCTCTGGGATCCTACACACAGAAGAGAGAGGGCCGTCAGTGTCGGGCCACAGGGCTGAGGCTGCTCTGAAGGCAGCGGGTTCAGGATACACCCCTCCCCAGCCTCCCTGCAGGCCTCTCACCCCCGGGGGCCTCTGGGTCCGCAGCTGCAGGTAGAGCTGCTGGAGTCTCGCCATCTGCTCCAGCACCAGACACAAGTGTTCCAGGTAGCGAAGCCCCTGTCCTGGGAGGCAGGCCCGGGCGCGGGTCCCCCAGCCACCTGCCTGTGGGACACAGTGAGTTGGGGGCTTCTTGTGACTCCACCAGGATCCTCCTCAGCAGCTTACTGACCTCCCCCATGCCCAAGCATGGTGCCATCAGGGCCCTGCCTGCCCACCTGCCCACTCTCCCGCAGAGTCACCTCATGCAGCTGGGAGCGGGGCCAGGGAGGCGCAGGGACACAAGTCTGTTAAGATCAGGGAACACCCTACCCCCAGCGGCTACAGCTCCGGGGAGAAGGGGAGCAGCCTGAAGCAAGGCTTCTCCACCACCCTGCCACCAGGGAGCACACTCACCCCCTCTTCTTCCAGGCCTGTCTCTAGGGTGGTCGCTGCCTCGGAGGACACCTGCTCCTCTGCTCCAAAAGGCAGTACTCCACACCTGGGCTTGCTCTGCTCCAGGGCCCGCTGCGGTCCAGCCAGGCAGGCGGAGTGGATGGGGGCCGGGCGGGACTGCTCCAGCACCAGCTCTGACCTATGGCTGGCCGGGAGTCTGCCTCTCTGGGCCCGGGGCTCATGGCTCCTCATGGGCCCGAAGTCCAAAGAGTCCTGAGAAAGGCCAGGTAAGGTGGCCAGGGGGCTCTCCCCAACCGCCCTCTCCAATCCCAAGTCCCGAGAGGCCAGTGTGAGAAGCGGAGCCCTTCCGAGGCCCCTCAGCTCGCCATCCTGGGTCCAGGAGTGCGCCGAGCCCCGGGGAGCGCCCTCGGAGCTGGAGTTGGAACGCCGTCTGTAGGTGCTGACGACGCCAGGCACCACGCAGCCGCGGTCCGGGTCCGGGTCCGGGTCCGCGCCCACCCCACCTGCGAGGAGAGTCGGCGTCAGGCGGGGCACCCCGCCCAGCGCCCCTGCATTCCTGACAGCTGCGGGGAGGAGCGTCCCGGGCCAGCAGGGGAGGGAGGCGCGCCCCGGGATCGCTCGGACTCTGGTTGGGAGATGCCCGCGGGAAGCGTGGAACGGTCAGCAGCTCCGAGGATGGCCGAGGAGGGCCTAGCCGCCCACCCCAAAGTGGGCGCCAGCCTCTGGGGGCGGGGAGGCCCAAAGAGGGCGGCCTGGGGTCTGCACTGCTCTGGGGGGCCCTGCTGTATTGGGGCGTGAGCTGAAGGCCCTCCTGGATTCAGGGGGCCCTGATAAATAAGTTATAGCCACTTTAGGCTCTTCTTAGCGAGAAACAGAATTTATAAAGAATTTTAAAGAAAAACAAAACCAAAGTGACAGAAAGGAACCTGGGGGACGGAGGCGACATTAGCTGGCCCATTTACTATCACCCGAGCCAGCTCCCCTTGTGATCCGGGCCGGAGCTGCAGGGAGGACGCAGAGCGGCCGGAGCCCCGCGCTGGTCCAAGGACCGCCAAGGCTGGGCTCCAGGCGAGACGTCGGCCAGGAAGCCCGCCCC